AAAACAGACAAAAACACGATTAAAAAAAAAACTCAAAACGTACATAAAACACGAGGTTAAAAATACTAAAATACAATATATCACTAACAACCTCTCAAAATATGAAATCTTTGCTTTAAACTTATCCTCTAAATCGAGATACAACTTCAAGTACTTAAAGCACTCATTTTCGTACTTAAAGCACTCATCATTTCCGTGTTGGCCACTTGCTAGTGCTCTTTTGAACGTATTTTCATGCAGTAAGCCTTTTTACGAAGAAGCTAATTAGTTATGAATCCAATCATAATATACTTGCTGCTAAAAATCTGCCCCTTTTTTTTTCTTACATATACATTCTATTTGTTCAGTAATTAATTTAAATAATACATATTGTTCAATGGAGCCAAAATTTGTAAATCCCTTATATTGGAAGAATATTATAACACTTCAACAACAAATTAGATATGTTAATTATGATTTAACAGGCACAACTTCTTGCTTGCTCCTCCTCTGATTCACTGTCGCTGCTATATCTGAGTGTTGAGAAAAAACACGTGAAATTCCTCAGTGATATATTACTATATTAGTAAAGGGTATATGTTAACAAATAATATAGGAAGAAAATTTCATTTAAATTCTCTCAAGGCGATTTAAATTATGGTTAGTCACTATGAACATTTTTAATATCAAAATTATGATTTTCTCCACATACACCGGAGAGTATATAATTACTTCTTTGTTTTGGCATGCATTTATATACACAAACTTCTTGGTTGATATTTTTTAGTTTTTAACATTAAATATGAAAATAGAATGTAACATCTCGACCACCATCTTTAATAGGCCCCAAGTCATCTTTCTGCACATGGGCCCACCCGTGCCCGACGGCCGGTCTGCTACGTTCGGGAGACTTTAAATACTTGTTCACCGGACCTTACAAATCACCACATGATCTTTTCCCAAAAAATTTCCTCACTCATATGGTTCCGACAATCATTTTCCGGAAGGTCACCCATCCTGAAATTGCTCCAGCTCAAACACGCTTAACTGTGGAGTTTTCTCAGAATGTTTGACCGAAAAGATAAGTGCACGTTGGTGACATAGGTGGCAAAATCAATTCTTGTAAACCTATCCGCATGCACCACCATATTCCAGAAATCAGGATATTACATAGAAGCTTCTATATAGTCTATTTCTACAATATATATTTTAAAACATTTCCCAGCGCATAAAACCACTGTGCAAATATATAAACATATACTATATGCATTTTAACATCAAAAAATTCTTTTATATATTACAAAAATTTAAATTAAAACCGCAAATCTATAAGTCTAAATTTATGAATGACGTAAATGCAATTTTATTTGTATGTATAAATCATTAAAATACTTGAAATTTAATTGTAAGTTTATTTATAGACTAAATTGTTGTGTTATTGCATGATATTTATATATTATTAATTATTTTAATTTAAAATATTTTAGCGCATTTAAAAATTTTAGTTTTAACATCTCAGGATTTAATATAAAAAACTATGAATTTTGTTTTTAAATCGTTTTCTCATAAAATTAAATAACATATATAAGATTTATCCGCGCATGACACGAGTTTTTTACCTAATACTTATTAAAATATAGTTTTCAATATAAAAGATCTAATTAACAATAATCAAGAATGCTAACTTTTGAATGGTTTAAATAATAATGGATGTACAAAGAAGGTAATTATCCAGTGTTGGCAACTTTCTTACTAAGAGAATGTGCAGTGCATAGAGACTTTGAAAGTCTCTCAAATATATTATTCTATTACATATGATTTAATTTAGTTATTTATTTTAATTTTAAATAATAATAAAAATTGAAAACCAATTATATGCTGACAAGTGTAAAAGTAGTCTCTCAAAGAGTTCTCAAATGTTCTCAGATGAGAATCGATTCTCGTTTCTCTCTCCCACTTTTTATTACTTTTTAATTTTTTATTGGTGAGAACTTATGTGACACTACAAGAAACCTGCTTGGAGACGTCGGTTTATTAAAGTCATTTCTTAAACCGACGTAAAATGTTAAAATGGGACGGGTTTTAGCGTCGTGTGGTTAACCTACGTAACATTTTATTATACCAATACTTATCAGTTTGGTGAATCAATAAGGATCTAACGCTTACAGAGAAAAAAAATGCAGATCTTGAAGCTTTTTGTGTGTCAATGGATCTATCGATTCCAATAACCTAATCGAAGGTATTTGTTACTTTTGTATCTGATTTCCTTGAAATCGATCTTCGATTGCTCAATCCGATCATGTGGTTTGCTATTTCTGTCTCGGTAGTTTCTCTTTTTCAATTGCTCGAGATCGATAAGATTCGTATGGTATAATATTTTTGAAGAATTTGCGTGATTTTCGATTGAATAGCTACTCTAACAAGGATTCTCGATTCGGATTTATGATGATGGATTCATGAAAGTTTTCTAGGTAGAGTTTTTGGCGTGAATTGAAATTTTTGGTTGGATTTCAGCTTAGTTCAATATCTTTGCAAATTTCATGGAGATTCAGGTAAAATTCAGTCTTTGTTCGCTGATTTGAAATGTTGTTGCATTATTCAAGGTTCTATTGACTCAAATCTTTAGTTATTTTTGCCAAATTAATTGTTTATGTAGAAGAAACAGCTATGATTGGCTTTACATTTGTGGTGCTTGCCATTATGCAGCTTGCATACGAATCTTATCCCTCAAGGTATGCATTCTTTTTACTCTCTCCAATCTCTTAAGAGATCTTATTGATTTGATGCAATGTTCTATGCTTTTGATTTGTCCTTTTCATGTGTTTGTCAAATACTCAATTTTTAAGAATATTGATCTGAAAAGTTAAAGGAATTGGAGTAGTTGTTAACTTAGTAATAACTTTATCGTGCATCTACTTTTTCTCAACATCCTTAGAAACCCTTTGGCATCATTTGAGCATAAAAACTTTATTATGACTAATTCACATTTGACTTGAAATGTATTAGCCTGATGGGATGAATTTAGAGATGAATCTGAGGAGAAACAGATATAGACCTGAAGAAGATGACTTTGGCGATATTGTCCATCTTCTATATGTGTTTTATTCTTTCAATTTATGGCCATCATTCCTCGTATGTACTTTATTGATGCAATCTATACCTGAAATCTTCTTTTCAGTTTGACGAGCATCAGATGACCAAGATAAGAAAAAAAAAAAGCAGAGGAATTATCAGTAGAAAGGGAGAAAGTTGCAGTAGGCAAGTGCTCACACTTTGTCTACGTTTTTGAATCAGTAAACGATCTTGCTCAAATCATGATGGATCTTTCTGCACTTGAGATAGATCAGGTAAAACCTATTAAACCTTATATTCTCTGTGTCTAGCTTCTGAGTCTTCTCCTTTGACAAAACAAACTCAAAGCAACCCATTTCGATGTAGGGTCAATAGTTGATCAGAAATTTGCTAGTGAGATGTTATGAACTGGAACATGAAGATGATATATATGGATTGAAGATGATATTTGAACTGGACCAAATTTCACTTAAAAATCATGTTTACCATTACATGTAAAGATAACAGTTATGAATGTTGCTTGTGTGTGTTTTGGATATCATGATATGGCACCAATAGGAATGGTCATTGAGCTATATTGGGAATCATGTCAGTAGCTCACTTATGAATCTATAATCTGCTTTTTGATACTTGCCTACTTGGGTCTTCTCTCTTTCCTAATTATAATTTTAAATAGCTGTGATTTCACTTGAAAATAGTATATCCTTTCATGTTGAGTATAATGTTTTTCTTAAAGCTTTTTTGCTTCTTTTTTTTTCTTTCAGGTAAACTTGGGACTTTGTACAAGGCAGCTTACAAAGACTTCGTGGCTTTGTGCAAGTAACTTTGAATACTACACTTGGTCACTTTGAAGACATATATACATCAGTCAATACATGTTGTGAATTCTTTTTCAGAATTTTATATTTTTAAGGACAAACTTATGCTTTATGTAAAATTATATATTCAAAACAATATAAATATTATCATTTTGGTCGATTTTCTTTCTAACTTTAAGTAAAAGAAAATTAATTCATAGCAATTTTTATTTAGATTTGATTAAAAAAAAATAGTATAAATTTTCATAAATGAGAAAACATAAATATGCTTTCATTACGTCGTTTATTAACCGACGTTACTTACAAATTCTGACGTCAAGTTTTATGACGTTACATTTTGTGTCGGTTTTTAAAATGAAGTAAAAAAGTTTTACGTCGGATGATGAGACGTCATTTGGAAAACCGACTCTAAGTTATTAACGTTAGTTATAAACCGACGTTAACCTTCCATATAATTGACGTTAACAAGCGTCTTTTTGTAGTGTGAGAACTCTCCACTGCACATGCTCTAACCGTAGAGTTATAAGTGGCAAGACTATTTGACTTTTTCTAAAGACGTTGAGATTAGTGGAGGGTTTAGTGTAGGATTTTCCGTTTATTCAAAATGTTGATAGGTTTAAGGGCTGCATGTAGTTGATTCATCCAATACTAGAGGCAGAAACGTTGCTCATGATTTGGGATAAACTCCAGCAGAAGATGGAGATTAAGAAGAAGAACCCTAAAATGATTTGGGGCAAATTCGATTTTGTTTTCTACAATCGAATACTCTATTTTGTAGAGAAAGATCCCACATTGGAAAGATGGGAAGGGACTTGAGTAGTATATAAGGGATTTGGGCCAATCCACTCATTGCCAATTGGTTTTGAGTCGGAAGCCCATGAAACTTAACATGGTATTAGAGCCCGATCCATACGCTGACCCATTAATCCGGCCCGAAAAGTGGCCCGATCACCCCCACTAATTGATGGCCCAAAGGAAGGCTCAATTCTGTCGAGATAGCTAGAAGAGCATTATCTCGATGTGGCGTGATATATGGATTCTGTCGAGATTAATTGAACGAACATGTAGCCCTAGGTTTTAAAGTTTAATTGAACCAGGGTGGTTTGTTTCAATCACCCCCAGTTCGCATATATTTACGTAGTCTTTTTATTTGGCATAACACACACTCACATCTTTGTAGTACGACGCACATATAAGAGAGCTTTTCGAGCAACCTCCATAAAAGCTTCATCAACATTGCTCTTTTCCTTTGCCGAGGTCTCAAAGTAGGCTATTTCCCCCTTTTTCTCACACCATTGGACTGCTTTCTCTTTTTCAACCTGCTTAAGATAAACCCGTGGACCTTAGAATCTAGAACTGGTGGTAACTGCAGAGAGAAAAAACATAGAGAAGCTTACAACTGGGGATGTTCTGCCTTTTACATCGGTTTTGTTTCCCATCAAAACAAAGGGAATTCGAAACTTGTCAGGTGTGATAGGATCTGCCTGAAAGTTATAAAAAAAAAAAATTGAGTTAGATGTGTTGCAATTATCAAGAAAAATATCTTTTTTTTTAATGTAATGTTAAATTATATTCAAAAGAAAAATAACGTTTTTACAACAAAGTGTCTCATAAGTTTGAAGAGTTTGAAAAATATCGCCACATCAAATATACAAATAGTTTCAAAACGGTTATGTATGTATCGCAATGAGGATATGGTAGTGCACCTCTTCGACGAACTGGGCATGCCAGATGTCGAGAGATTCAAACGATTCGAGAATATTAACGTCGTAGACAAGAACACAGCAATTTGCGTCTCGATAGAACCCTGACGTTATACTGTGAAATCTTTCTTGTCCAGCAGTATCCCAAATCTGTAAACAAAACATAAGTTTTGAATTAAAAAGAAAAAGATAAGTTGTGAAGAAAGGGATTGCTTGACATGTACTTGTAAAGTGACTTGTTCTTTGTCAACGCAAAGCTCCTTGTTGGTGAAATCCATTCCGACTGTATTCATATGCAGCCTCTTAAATTCCTCACCAATGTATCTTAGGTCACAAGTTAGGGTATCAGTGAGAGAGAATTGTAAGAGCTTGGAATATGGATTATAAAGAGGATACCGTTTCGTCAATGATGTTTTGCCTACCCTGCATATAAAGAGTTAGAAAAGAGAAAAATAATTAACCGAGGAAACGTTTAAAAAGTAATAATAGTTAAATTCCAAAGAAAAGAAATTGAAAATTGAAACAAAATCGGCATTAAAAGGTGAGAGTGAAAACTCTAGACTTTTTAGAGAAATCTTGAAGCATTAGACAAAAGTTTAATCGTAACCCGCTATTTCCGAGAAGGATGATCTTCAGCTTTGTTCTTTTCTTCCGAGAACTCATTGTCGAAAAGCGCAAGAAAGAAGCCTACGAGATTGTTCTCTGATTCTTTTTCTGAAAAGTTTCCTATATTGTTTTTGATACTGTTTCTTCTTCATCTTCAGGACATTGTCTACAAAATTGTTTGACAAAATAAAAAAGAAGAAGAGAACGGGTCATAAAGATTTAATCTTTTAACATTTGAACCAAAACAAAGAGGTCCTTAGGCTTATATCAAGCGTTATGAAAGGTGGATAATCCATTTAATACTCTCAACTTAACAAAAGTTTAGCTGGTCTAAACAAAAAAATGGTTCTCCATCCACGTCTATTTTTGTTGCGTTACTTCAAGCGCATATTCAATTGAAGAATAACAATTAAAAAGTTCAAACACTATATAAATAATTCTAAAATTTGCGGGTGTTTTTCTTAGTAATTTACCATAAAGATTGGGGAGAAATATTCCAAACTTTGTGCTTAATTCGCTTCTGCTCCGGCCTACTCTTTAGTTTCTGTGATCACCTGAAAACCTCGTAAATTATTTGTAAATTTTCTCTTGAGATCAGTTAATTTGACTTTGTGGCTTGTTTTTCTCTATTTCATTCATATCACACAATATGTTAGGGTTTGAGTTTGGTTTTGCCGTTTTGGGTTGTTTTAGTGTACAATAGTCTTATTAATGGTTGTAGGTTATTGATTGTTCTCATAGTTTCTGATTTATGTACTCTAGGGCTATTACAATGTTTTTCTTTTTTTTTCTATCAGGTTTGAGTGTACCGGAGAATTGAGTTTGCATCATCATTGCGTTTGCTGATTCTGCACAATGAGTAATGTTTTCCACGAATACGATCGGCAATATAGCCAGCTCTCGGTAAATCTTTCAAAGAATTGTTCCTTGGCTTTTTCACTCAAAGGAGGTAAACTGATACCTCAAATCTCTCCTTCGCTTTTTTAAAATTTAGTAACCGAAACGTTTTGGCGCTGAGGCATAAAATCTTTTCAAGCTATGAGAACTGAGGTAGTTAAATTATCGTTTCCTCTCCGTCACCGATACTTGAACTCGTGATCTTGAAGACTTTTCATTAGTTTTCTTAGTAGAAAAAAAAGATATTCGAGATATTACATGTTTCAGAATTTTAGAGATATTTTGGTTTGTGTTTGATGCGGTAATTGTGTTACTCTATATACTTCGATGATACTTTACTAATTAATATACAGGAGAGAAGAAGGATAGGCTGTCTGAAATAACATCTGATCTGGAAAATGCAGAAAAATTGGTAAGTGGATCGGATATATAAGTCTTCTCCATTTTCTATTTTTCCTTCTGATAATTCTCTACTTTTTATTTCACCAGATTTCAAAAATGGATCATGCAGCAAGTAACCTTCCACCCAATATTAAATCCATCCTCCTTGAAAAATTAAGGGAATCCAAATCTAGTCTAAAAAGATTTAAGAGTGATATCAAGAGGAACACATCTGAAAACTTGAATGTTACTACTCGAGAAGAAGTTCTTGAAGCTGAAAAGGCGGTATGTTAGGACAACGGTATTGTTCAATTTAATCTAATCTTGATCTTTCTAGTAAAACAAATCTTGGTCTCTTTTTATTGAGTTAAGGAATCAGCTGATCAAAGATCAAGATTGATGAAATCAACGGAGGGTTTGGCTCGAACAAGAGAGATAATTAAGGAGAGTCAAAGAAAAATGCTGGAGACCGAAAACATTGGTATTTCAATACTCGAGAACTTGCAAAGTCAGAAAGAGTCTCTCCAACGCAGCCAAGCTATGGTAGAATTTTCTCTTACTTCACATTCTGATAAGAGACTACGGTTAGGTTGATTAGGCCACCGGTTAGGATGTTTTAGTTAATTAGTTTTGGGGGTTTAGTTTATGAGTTTGGTTTTCATAATTTCATTTCTATGTTAAAGTTTTTTTTTTTTACGTTTAGGTTAGAATCTAATTGTATCATAGCCTATATAAATATAGGTCTTTATGCTAATGAGATCTAAACTTCCAAGAATTAATCTTAATATCCAAGAGAGCTTAGGGTTAAGAGGAAGGTAGCTTACAAATCTCTCTATTTCTCACGTTAAACATTTGCTCCGATTACGAGATCAAAGTCTAAAGCTTTGGCTTGTATCACATTCATTGATTCATTCATATAGGTCCTCTAGCTTTTGTAAATAGATTTCTTTCAATATTCCCAACAAAGTTAATTGAACTAAGTGGCAAATAAATGATAATTTAGGGATCTTCCATGAAGTAGACTCTACTTTTCTATATCCACTACACCATTGAATTGGCTAAAAACTAGTGCATTTGAACAAGAGTTTCTCTTACTTTATATTCCTTGATTCATTATATATATATATATATATATATATATATATATATATATATATATATATTATATATATTATATATATTACCAGTAGCTCTTAATTAAATAGTTTGAGATGATTTTTTTGACCCTTGGTATCGCTTTAACCAATGGTATGTCGTTGTTACAGCTTCATGAGATAGATGATAATGTCAAAGAGTGCCAGTCAATAGTGACAACCATGAAGATCAAGGAATTTTTTACAATGGCTGCTGCACCAATTGTTATGTTTGCTTTAATCTTAGTAAAACTCGCCAAGTAAGCCTATTGGCTTCCTAACCTAATCTCAGCTGGCTCTGAACAATTGTTGTGTTCGCTTGTGAATCTTGGATCTATCCTTCTTGTACATGTGTGTGTGTGTATATCCGATCCACAGGGTCAAATCTTGTATTCAAATGGCAAATGGGGTACGTGGTTCACCATATCAATGTGAATATAAGAACATATAAATAAATAAGTATAATAATATTGAGCCGACATAACAGTACTTTCCTACATGTTGAGCCGAAGTTGATTTTTGATTTTGTACTATATCTTAGCTGTCAATAAAGAAAGAACAAAAAGTTAGAACGACACATTTAATTAGAAAATCATATAAAATGTATATATGTATGTTTTAGAAACTTGCCATACTTTTCCAAATCAACTTATAAGATTATGTATTGGAGTCGTGCTTTAGACATACAATATACCATAAGGACGAGCAAGAAGAATTCTTGAAACAGAAAAAGGAAAAAGAAAAAAAAACATTGATATTAAAATAATTTTGCTATGATATTTATGAATTAGTCAACAGACAAAGCCATGAGAATGAACTTTCCACCTAGAACTCGAAACTAAATCCATTTGACTACTAAATTAAGATAACTTTCTCAACATTTACATATAGTTTACAGAACTTAAACAAAATATATATAGAAAAAAATGTATATTTGTTTTTTTTTTTTGCTATGAGCAAAAAAAAAAAAAAAAAAAAAAAAAATGTATATTTGTTTAAACCAAATAGATATATAACACCCTACTGACTCAAGATCTAAAATTAAACTCTCATTAGACCATCACCATAAAATAACTCATCCATATATATTCATCTCATAATAGTGATCTATGGGATTTTTTACGTGTCATCGTAAGCCTAGAATGAGAGGAAGAGGCAGTTGCATAGCCAGAGATGACTTGCCGGGCTCGCTTTGTTACACATCTCACCCCAACACACATATATATAAATAAGTAAATACTTTTTCATATTATATTACGTACGTACGATCAAAAATCAACTAAAACTATTATATATATATAAAGCATAATCTCCATAATATAAACCGAATATAGAGTAAAGTTATATACAAAGCTACCGGCAAGTCATCCTTGGCTGAACAACAATGGCCTTTTTCCCACATTCAAGGCTTTAGATGAGACAATCCATTCACACTTTCGTATTCACTCCTCTCCAGTATTATCTAAGATTCCCTAACCACTAATAATACTAATAATGAACGTAAATAACCATAAAAAAATATGAGAGCAAAAGAGGTGTTGTGAAAATTCTCTCGTTTGTGAATGTAGTTGTTGTTCCAAGATTTTTGGAGAAAAAATAACAAAGGAAAACAAAACATTTGGAGAAAAGATGAAATGATCTTTCAAGTTTGCAAGTGGGCATTGTCTTGCTCTCTTGAAGTAAAGGGTGTTTCGTACTTATAGATCTTTCTACCAGTTTCCAATTGCTCATTAATGTTTTGGTTTTGCTGCATAGGCTCGTCTTCCAATAGCTTCGTACATTTATAACAGTTTTATATGTTTGTCAATTAGTCTTGACTCTTGAATATATTATAAGTTTATATTTTATTTCCTCGAGAGGGGCGTGAAGCCATGACCCTTGAAGCAGCTTATATGAAAGGTGCATATATGATGCACGTAGGAGGTGCTACACTATGCACATGAATTTATTCTGGTTGTTTACGGAATTTTATTCAAACAAGCCAACCAAAAAAAATATTCAGTATTCATGATCTTCTATTTTACTAAACCAAAGTATTTTTCTTTTGTACTCCTTCTATTTCACAAAAAAGTGTTAGTTTAGATTTTTATTTTTGTTTCACAAAAAGTGTCATTCTACATTTTCAATGTGATTTTTACACTAAATTTTCTTATTTATCCTTAAGTCAAGCTACTTTTCATTGAATTTAAACTATTAATTCCTTATCAAATAAGGGCATATATGTATAATAATACAATGTTTTCTTAATTTGTGTGAAATGTGTTAAAATGATATTCTTTGTGAAACGCCATAATATACTACTGATATGGTGATACATATATATGATTGATAAACCAAA